GTCCAGTTAATCACTGAAAAACTCAAGCGGTCACCGGAAGACTACGTTCTTCCTCATCATTCAGCAAGTTAACTCTTCATTCTCCGTTGTCTCGAAGGGTGCGATAAGCATTACACTACCTTTGGTATCACACCTCTATTTCAGTATCTTTGAGTAGAATTGTGCTATTATTCTTAGCCGGGCTCTCGCACGTGTATGTTATATTCGTTTCCAGCTTGGGTGAGCGTGTTATGAGCATGGATTCTAAACCGTGCTTCGTAGGTTACAGTGCTCAGTGAAGCAGTGGAATCTCACACCAACAATTCTATGGACCTGTAGAAAGGTAGGCTGCGAATTTGCTGAATGGCGTAAATTAACAACACCGGAGTGAGACAACAATTAAGACGGTATAATTGTAATGAAATTCCTGCAGCTGAGTTAGAAATCAGCTCAAGAACACCCTACACGAAGATCACTTGCGTCCTAGAGCTTGACGTGCTGAACCAAATCCGTTTATCAACAACGAAGAAGGAAACGAGAACAAAAAGAAGAGAAAAACCGAGGTAAAATATGTACAAACCACAGTGTATCGAGAAGTGGTTTCAACTGGCTGCCATCACCTTTCTCTGTTAAAGATCGTTAACGACTATTTGAAGCATTACGGTGTTTTAACTAAGGTAGTCTTAGAGTTATTCTCAATCTAACTGTCAGGTTTAAATAATAGAAAGAAAACCTCCATATTTATAGCCCACTACAAGTATGTCAAAAACGCGCTTTGTTTACAATTGTAAAGATCACGATAGTTTTTCGTTTTCTTGATGATATGTTCTTAAAACATCCAGGTAAAGCGAATGATGGCTGACTTCGGCCAAAACGCTCATGGAAAGATTGCTCTTAGACTAAATCCGAAGAAAATGACGTTCATGAACAACGGACTTGTTTCTTGTGCCCCATTCAAGCTCAGCGGAATGAATACTCCATTGCTTTATCCAATGTAAATCCGGGTCAAGAAATCAACATGACAAACGATTTATCCCTAGTTTTGAGTAAAACGAAGCATGTGGCTTGGAAAGCTTCCATAAGCGGCGAGAATATACCGAATAGGACTAAGAACACGTGTCCTCTGCCCATTTTTTCGACTCCATAGTTCTTGCTGTCTTAACGCATGCATCAGAAAACTGGTCACTACGTAAGCAGGATGAAATATCACTCTGTGTTATAGAACGCACAGTCGAAAGGACGATGCTAGGAGGATTCCTTATCACGCAACTAAAGGAAGCGATCAGGAGCTCCGGTCTACGTCAACGATCAAGAGTGGTAGATGCCGTTTTACGGACCAAATGGTTGATGATGCGGTGGGCTGGACACGTGATGCTTCTGAAAAACAACCGGTAGACAACAGCCGTTAGTGACTGAATTCCCCGGCATGTCAAACGTTATGCAAGAAGACCATCGATCCGATGCTCAGATTTATCCAAGAAAATTCTGGGAGCAAGAAACTATGCTCAACGAGTCTATGGAGCGAGAAAAACCAACTGGACTACAGCGAGAAATGGGAAATTTACTACCACAAGCACGAATCACTCAACGATTAGCGGGACGACAGTTAGTGCAGTTGAGGATCTGCCAACTGTTAACATTCATTTTAGTAAGCCCTCAAGGCTTGGCAAATTTACAGTGTCGATGAAATAGTCATGAGTGTTCACCAAAAAGTGGACGAGCGTTATCGACACAACAAAACGTGGATAAATGGGAATTAGTACTGTCTACACTTCCGTCAACTTCTTTAATGTATTCGGCATGGTATAAATGTCTTTTTCAAATACTGAAGCTCATCTGTTCCAAAACCAAAGGTGTTTTTAAATAGCTCAGCAGGCAGCGTTGTTCTTCTCCTCCACTGACAAATGAGAAAGATCTATAGAAACCTGAGAAATGCGAAAATACTAGATACTTGAACAACCCATCCTCAATGATTGTGCGGGCACTAGCATAATCTCCATTTTTTTGGGGTTTTGCTGGCTTAACCAATGTGGTTCCCTGAAGTCTCGAGGTCACCCAGACCAAGGTCTGCCTCAGGTTATCATTACCACAGGCTGTTGCAGCCCTTGTGGATCAGAGGGAGATTTTCCACCAGGAGACTTTGATACCAGGACAATTGTGGATCCTAGTATTGGTTTACTTTTAGCTAAGTGGCTTCCCTATGAAAAACCCGAACTCCTTCCCAGTTTAGGAGATCCTGCCAGTGGGATAAATCACCCTGCCGTGCATCGCAACTCTACACCCAAGAACACCAATTAGCCACGATGAGGCGGTAAACCGTTGGGAGGATTGCGAAGATATTCGGGTAAACACTTTCATTAGCAGTAGATTTAGGTATACTGTGGTCAGGTAACCGTAACAATTTCTCTTCTACTTTTCTGTTAAACAACGCTACTCGAAGTCGCGAGTTTTCTGAATGCTAATTATCTTATTGGGTAAATTTTCAAACGTTTCCAGGGGATTTGTGTGCAATGTGGTCTCCAATTCTTCGCAAACTGCTCGAGATTTCAATTGCCCTCCCTGATGCTTTGTCTGCCTTTTTACTTTACATACTCTTTATCCCACAGTGTTTTTACAACTAAAATTCGCGTTGTTTTTCATGTCTACTTATGGTGAAGTTTTAACAGTGAGGTTTCAAGTGCAGCCCCTTCTTATTTCAACTAATTACGTTTCTTTTCGTAGAAAACAGTACGTCGCTCGCTGTTGCGCTAACTTGTTATCATAGCCTATCGTGAACCTAACCCTGGGAAGATCTCGTTAATTAAGGACTTGAAAGAAGCATAGGAAGGTTAGAGGTAAAGAATCTAGCGTTTCCTTCTTTTGTGCATATTATGACCTTATATATTTTGCTGATCCCTGTCCTTCTTTCATTCGTTTTCTTCTGTCCATCACAAAAGAGCGTCGTTGAATTCGCGTTTTCTTATGAAAATCAATGAACGGTGGTCGAGTCGATTCACCGTGAAATCCAGAGTTGGCTGTGCGTTCGTTTTAGTACACTCCCAAGTTTTCACCGCAGGTGGTCGCCGGCCGTTGTAGATCGCAGGGAGCTTCTCGCAGAGAGGCTGGGTACAGAGTCTGCTGACCCTAGAAGGATGGAAGACCAGGATAGTGGTGACCTAGCTCGTCATCTCTAACCACTTCGCTTACCACGTCCCACTCCAGACATAAAGACATTACGGAAAACGGTGATAATACATACAGTCAGGACATAGCAAATATTTTGAACTTTTTTTATTTGCCGTCTACTACAATTTTTATGGCAGAGTATTATGCGAAATACAACCACAATGGTGCTGAGATATTTGCAGAACTCCAGACCTCAGGTGTCTGAGGTGGGGAACGAACGCGCTATTAACCTTACCGAGGGCTAACGCGTTCACCGCCACATTATGCGGGTCGTCCATTTCGTTTGTTTCTCAGCGAGTTCTATTGATATTTCGAACTGCTTCAATAACATTCGAGACAGAGCGGTATCAGTGATTAGCTTCTATATGTAAAAAAGGCTTTAAATCTCTTAGATTCTCGAACCGTTCAAATTAAGTAATCGAAGCATAAAGATCTTTTTTTGCAAGAGAAGACTAGCCATTATCCAGGAAGATGACCATCTGGTGTCACTCAATTGTGAAATATCAAGAAACGAAATATTTCTCATCATTTACTACTGTGACTTACTGTTACCAGAATTATAACAATAAGAATACAGCACCACCGTGATGCTTTGAAATCCAGTTACTCCTTAGTTGTTTAAGCAAAGAAGGTTTGTCAGTTCAAACACCTAAGGAGAGCTAAGGCGTCTTTTTTATTCTGCGTACCACGAATCGCTGTCATTTGGATTACTGTAGTGAATACTCGGGAACGCCATAGTGGTTACAAGTGCTTAGGTGCCCTGAAAGACACATTTAGGGTTACTGGTTCTACACGACGCCCCAGGCTAACTAAGGCTTCTATTTATTTCGGAGTCGTCGGAGTCAGAAGGATAACAAAACTGATATGATGATGTTATAACTGATTTTCATTGCACTTCGGCACGAATAATCGATGTCCTGCTTTATTGGTAAGCTTACAAGAGGTAGTTAGAAATCTTTGCTGTGGCTAACGTTTCAGCGGTTTCACCTTTTTCAGAACTACGATGACTCGAGTCGAGTGGCTAGAGCACTTGTGTCTACTTGCGTCACATCGAGTCTAAACGAGAAAACTGAAGCGCAGCGTTAGCCACAATAAACACTTCTAACGAGCCTGTATAAGCTTATCAATGAAGCAATACACTGTCTCGATATGTCAGTAGGCCACCTAAAGTCGCTCTATTGGCCAAATATGCACTCATTCATTACTGCAGTGAAGTGCGCTACGATCTATGGCGCATTCCTTCTCCATGACTAACGACTGCAAGCCACTGGAAAGAATGAAAGGAATGCTGAGACTTCCACAAGATGTGAATACAGACCATGTAGATGGTTGGCATTGCTATGGGCAGTATGTAGTACCCAGTATTGGTAACCAATACCAGGATCCACCACCGTGCTGGCATCAAAGTCGCATAGTGGCAAATCTCCCTCTGATCCACAAGGGCTGCGACTGCCTGTGGTGGTGAAGACTTGGGGCAGACTTTGGCGAGGCTGGATTTCAGGGAACCAAAATAGCTTAACCAGCAAACCTCCGAAAAACTGAGGTTATACTTGGGTTTGCACAACCAGTGAGGACGAGTCATTCAAGTATCAAGCATTAAGTAAGTATATAGCACAGTGAAAGTAAGTATATAGTATAGTGAAGTACTCTATGCAAATAATGTGTTCTCGTCGCATTTTTGCGCGCTACGACAGCCTTCAAAGCCTCTCCTTGGAGCGCGTCAATGCGTACGTATTTTTTGCCAACTGCTTTTCGCCAGGTCCTTCTCGAACGGCATGGCAGTGTTTTACTGGATTTCTGGATTTGTCAAGTAGTTACCCAGTATTGACTGTGTGTGGAATCGTGTCATTTGCAGTATGGATCGGCGATTCAATGCCGACTTCTATCTGTTCATATCTCCTGTCGTCGAATTGCGCGAGTTTCTGGAGGAGGCGTATGCTGCAAAGCAAAAACTGAATGGTGAGATTTTTTTCTTCTGGAAAGATCTTTAGAATAAAGGTCTCATTTCGACTGACAATACTGCTTATACCTTTTACTTCTGGCATGGCTTCATATTCATTTCATAGGTAGCAAATCAATAATCTTACCGATTGGGTAGTTTCCTTTAGATTGTTCAGCTGACACGATGTTGGTAGGAGAGTTTTATTCGGCTAAAGATTCGCTTCGTTCATTACTTAGGTGAAGATCTGTACCTGACCTTCAGACATATGTTGCTTCAGACCTCTTCTTGCTCAGTCCTGGAACCTCGAATGGTGCACTGTCATTGTCTCCGAATCAGAACTATGACATGAAGACTGCTTTCGTACAAATCACAAACTGCGCACCTGCGACGGCCAGAAAGATTTTCGACGACGAATTGCAGTTTGCTATCCTTTTTTTCTTGTTACTTTTGGTTTTCTAGAGATCAATTCAGTGCAACACCTCAGATTCATCATTTACTGATCATCGATCGATTTATGGTTTAGTTCGAATGATGAGATTTTCATTTAGACTTTCGAGGTTTCTACCTGATGTTGATAACCGAACATTTGAGGAATTGAACAATAAAAACATTAGTCCATCTACGAAACTGAAAACACTTCAGTAGGTACCTGTTTCATACTTATGGAATAAAAACTGGCGTATCGCATGTGGCGCAGCGGTCGGAGACGCCCTGCAGCACGCACATGGGATCGACCGCCGCGCCCGTGGCTCGCTAATCCATCCATCCTCCCGGGGTCGGCAAATTGGTACCAGACTTGTCTGGAAGGATAGCAGTACTGGCTCGATGCATCGGTTGGCTACCGTAAGTCAATGTAAAAGCCAATTATGCATTCAATCATCTCCAATGATGCTTAATAAAGTTTAATGCATGACGCATCCCTCAGTGATTGATCAACGCCGAGAGCTTTAGGGAGAGCTTTATGGAATGGAAAAAGTAAATAAAATAGATCCGTTATAGGATCCATGGTATTGGATACTGTTATTCTTATCTTCCTTTTTTCTTTTTCATAATTTCATCTAACTTCTTGGTCATTTTCAATGTTCATTTTAAAATGTTTCGTGAACGATTTAATACTTTAGGTATGCTTTGGAAAGAAATACAATCGCGAAAAATGCTCAGCGGAAGTCGAATTATCTTCGTGATTTGAAATACGATAAATTTGACTGTTCTGAGAAAAAGGTAGTGTCGACAAGCTCCCTTGCTTTTCTTTTTAGACCTTTCTTTTCTTTTTCTTCTCCGTATTCCAGAGACATATCTGTACTCTGGTAAAGCAGTAGTTTTTCAGTTAAAACGAGGTCATTCTACTCCTCTTGAACAGCCATGTGAGAAGGATATTGTGCTGAATTGTACCGTTGTCGTACCTCATAATAAAATTCTATCACAGGAAGAGACGAGAAACACAAGGCTTGTAGGTTACCTCTTAATTTTTTCACCAATGAGTTATTTACATTTTCAGTAGTAAAATCGTCTAATACGGACGTCTTAGAGTTGTAAATCTCAGGTTCTTTTAATTACACATTTAATAGTACAGTTAACGAATGCATTTGTTATTTAGTATTTATTTACATTTACATAACCCGACATCACAACACCTGTGCAAATCCAGCACTTCTTGCATTTGGTTCGCTTCCTTACACCCCTCATCCACTGGGGTGTTCTAAATTTTACGTGTGGCTTCGCTTGCTGCTTCCCGATTTTCTTCTCATCTTGAATGTCGTAGAATGCTGGTGGAGTCGTTTTTTATTGGAGTGCTTAGATAGCTGGTCTAAAGCATCCCCAATCGGATTGCAGAGAGCGATTTTTCCCGGACAGCTCCGTTACCAATTTTCCGACACCGGCGGGATGAGAAGCTTGGTGGGACCGAAGCGAGATCAAATCAGCTCCGTGCTCGTGATGGCCGGCATCACTACCACTGTGCTCGCCCCTTGCATATAAATATATATATCTGTTATATATACATGTGTATTTATACATACATGTATATATATATATATATATACCCTCGTATCTTGACACTTCTTTCATTCAATTTGTTTCTTCTATCTCATCCAGATAGGCGGGGAACATATGGCGCCCGAGTTAGATGTGGGTGACAATATACACGTAGTTGTTGGTTCGATTCCACACCCTGGACCCATCGGCCACTCCGAGGTGGGAGAATTGGTACGAGATTTGTCTGAAAGTATAGCAGTACTGAACTGATACATCGGCTAGGCCATTGTAAGTCATTATGTGGGCCAGAATTGCACTCAGTCACCTCTAACGGTGCTTGATGAGGTTTCCTCGAGGATTAAGTAACGTTTAGCGATTTATTATTTATCCCTTTATCCACGAAGATATTCGTTTGAGTTCAGCCACAACTTTAGGTTTTGTTCCCGTCATGATGTAGTCGATAGCTCCTCTGGATTCATGTGATTCTTCCTGCAATCACAGGGCCTCATTCCAATCTGAATATTTTCCGCTTTTGAGCGCAAACCGTCGCCGACTATTGTCGATTGGAGAGAGCTTTTCTGAGGCAGCTCTGAAATCCATTTGCTGTACGTGGACGGATGCCTTGTGTTTTTCCGAGTACTTGTGACCACTGTGCTACACATGCCCTCTGTGATTGTAGAGTTGTTTATATATATATATATATATATATATATATATATATATATATATATATATACAATATGGTGAAGTCGTACTGTTTTTTTTTCAACTTTTATCTGTTTTTCATGTTGAGTATGGTTACAGTTGGCACCGCAGCGCAAGCTGATGCTTCGCGGAGACTCTACCCTGCTCAGCTTAAGGCAGAAAATCGTTCGTGTTTTCACACTTATTAGTGACATCCGTGTTTGTTATTCGTATTCTTTGTCATTTCAGTTCTGTATTTGTGATACTGTTGCGCGTTTAGAAGATGGGCATGAATTGGAGCCACTTGACAGTTTAAAGGTACGTGAAATGCGTCTTCCTCTTTGGGTGTTGCTTTCGTGCTGTGTTTTAATTGACAAAGTTTGATTTTAATAGGGTTAGAATTTATTGTGTTCTAGACTGACATGGCTGTATACCCATCATCGTTTATTTTCATTCATGACACATTCTATATCGATTACTCGCTACCGAATTCGCAAGATATTTCTGAGTAAGTCACATCTTTTTCACTGCTATTGTCATTTCATTGTTTAACCGTTTTTATACAAGAAAAATATAGGTGCTTTTGTAGAACTTGCTTCCCAAGGAGTATTTTATCTCCTTCATTTAAGTTGTATTCTGCATACTGCTGCGCATGAAACTTGTACATTGACCATTAGTCTGGCAGCATTTTTTCAGACCTATACGAGAATTTATGGCACGGAAGAAATGCTTTGACCCCGTAACATCGAGAGATATTGAAGGTGTCAAGATAATTGATCTTAAGCTGAGGTCCTATTTTGAATACCTTTCAAAAAATGTGTGAATGGATTTGAAAGCTTGCTCACGGTCCATTTTCAGGCTGGGGCAACCATATGTATTCCAACATTCTGGTACATGTGAGCACCTATTGATATTTCATGATCTGCGGCTACTGGAAAAGACGGATGTTCAGGTGCTTTGATGCTTTACTTCCCTCTTTTATATGACCTAAAGTATTCTACTAAAACACAGCGTTTAAAAGTGATGGGAAGCTAGTGTTCAGTTTTATGCATAGTTTGGTTTTTTTTAGGCACTGGAACGTTATCCGTTGGTACTATTCGAGAAGAGAGGAGATGTTCGGTGTGCTGCTTGCAAGCAACACTATGCAGCGTAAGTGATTATTCTAGACAACTACACATTTTGTTCTACACAACGTTTTTCTGGAAAAGTTGTTTGCCCTTATGGTTTCTTGTTTCACTAAAATATTGAAGATGTTCCAGTCTAGTTCCTGCACTTATTACACTCGAGCTGAAGGCTTTATGCTTAATATCGACAATTTGCATTCTGTGGATGCTTTACAAAGCAAGGGTATCATTTCATTTTTGTAGATTCGTAGTGGAGGAGTGTGACCGTTTGCCTTCACCGTACATGATGTTCTGCGACGAGTGTTTTCGGGAGTTCTTCTTCATGCACGGTCATAAAATCGGCCACTTCAAAGCACATCCGTACCATCCTATTAACCGGTTTACTGTACTTGGAGAATAAAAACTTTATTGTGAGGTAGTATGAGTCGTATAGAATTAAGCCCTCGTTTTCGCGGAAATAGTATTCAGTCCTATTGATCTGACTTCCCGCACTATTGTTCTAGTTGTTTTAATTTCTGATGAGAATGTTTTTTGTTACTAGCAAACCGAATTGAACTCAACTAAGCTTATTACTCATTGCCTCGAACCGACCAGCTTGTCTATCTTCCTGAATTTATACTATTGTTTCTCATCTAGTAGATATCATTGCCCGTTAACATGTCTTTGATCTCATTTTCAGTTGGTATTAGTGATATAATTCTATTTTTAATGCTTATTTTGTTGAATACGGTTATCTGCCTCATTTATTGTTTAGTCATGACTTGTGCGTTTATGTTTCCGTTGCAGACTCCTTTCGTTTGCGTAAATAAAAATATAAACTGTTTAGAATGCAATGTGGTTCTCTCAGTCCGATTTTGAGAACTCCATCCAGTTGTAACAAACAAAGCAAACCCGCTTCCAAAGGATTCTTCACGATCGCATTTTCTACAAACAAGTACTACCCAAAAAGAGATTTGAGCTAAAGGTGTTTAGAAGACGCCTTAGGTATATGATGGTCACATTGTAGACTAATATGACTTTTTCAAGAAACTTATGAACTTTTGGAAATTTTGGACGGAGAGTTCGATGTTTCCCTTTCTTTGTGGTACTAATGGTTGAAAAAAATTAGTCTACATTTCTATGACATCGTCGTATTTGTGAGAAAGGAAAAAGATCACGTCTTCTAGCTAAAGTAGTACTTTTTCACTCTTATCCAAGTCACTCGAAGTTTAATAGAAGAATGTTTAAGCAAGGGGATTTATGATATGAAGAGAATTTTTTATTTGATCCGTCTTAACGTTTACTGTGCGGATCCCAGCACTTCCTACGTCCAATTCGTTTCCTCGCATCCATCGTCCACGAAAGTCTTCCAAGTTTTTAGGTGTCGCCTCGGTTGTTGCTTGAGAATTTTTCATTTCATCTTGAATGTCGTAGAATGCTGCTCAAGCAATTGTCCCTAGAGTCCTGAGATAGCCGGACTGGAGTGTTCTCAATTGGATTGCAGAGAGTGATTTTTTCACAGAGAAGTCCGGTACCAATTTCCCGATCCCGGAGGGATGAGAGGCTTGGTTGGCCCGTAGTGGCACTACCACTCTGCTATCCGCCCCTATGAAGAGATAAAATAAACAAGATAAACCATACTAGTTGGTAGTCGCATTGCATAAGCAGTGCGCACCGCACAAGAGCTCGATAAGCTATGAAATTTTTTTGCCGGAGAACAACAAAAGAAGTTACGAATATTTTAATTATACGAAAAGTTATCTATTCTTCGTGAGCCTTGAGCAAACGACTTTCACGGAATACCTTACGAGCGTCACAGCCACGAAGGGAGACCACTTATGCCAACATGCTTGAGTTAGTCGCTGATTGCAGGTATCGCATATGATACGGAGAATCATTGTGAAAATAAGCGCGTGTAGCGTAATAGCTAGAGGTGCTCTGAAATACACATGTATTAATCGGTGGTCCAGCTCCGCGTCCCTGCTAACCAACCTTCCGTCTCTCCGCGATTAGCAAATAGATACTAGATTTGTCTGTGAGATAAAAAATATCACGGTACATCGGTGGGCATCCAGACGTCGGTGTATTAGACAAAGATTTATTTGGTCACCTATGCTACGAATGGAGTCAAATGCTTCCATAAGGGATTAATTAATCCGCAGTGCTTAATCTTTTCTCTTTCATTTCCATAGAACTACCACCGTATTACCTGGCTACTTTGACAGTTCATTGACCTGATCGAGCGACGGCGACGCACTCATCGATTGGCTCCAAAACAGCACTGATTACAACCCACTTCTTAAATGAAGGATTTCTTGAGTTGAAGTTCATAAAAATCTCATGGTGATATGCAATTAATATGTTTAAACCCACTTGGCTCAATGAATGCAGAAGTAACCATGTTGGGGTCCTTACTATATTCATGTCACTGGCAAAAAATCCTGTTTTAACTACAGTATATGAAAAGCGTGATAAAGAAGAACGAAGAAGACACGTCTGCACTTCAACTCTGAATTTTGATGGAGTTTCTCTGACAAAGAAGTGGATGCTTTCGAGGACCTCGTCGAAGAGAATCATGGACAAGGAGTACGAGAGGCCGGCACCCAGACATCTGTAGTCGAAAGGTGGCGCTGAGAAAATCATGTAGACCGTCATGCTGAACGAAATCCCTCTAAGAGAAATTGTTTCGTGGAACGGACAATCACATCAAAGCGAGTGCTAATCTCTCAGGTGTCGATGTCTGGCCGGTAGTCAGTAAAGGTCTTATCATCATAAAAAAAAACTACAATTCGACTTTAAAACACCAGTAGCTTTGCTTTTTTCTTCTTGAAAGCGACTGCGAATGTCCTTATACCGGAGAGCCAAGAAGTTGTACACTCTGAGTCCGATTCTGGTGTTATAAATTTACAGGCTTTCACCATTATTCAGCTTCAAATTTCCGAGACTCTTTGACGTCTGATGTATTTACTTGGGACTCCCTCCTTTCATTGTGTTGTTTGCTCAGTTCGCTTCGCAGAATATTATGGGGACCAAACTAGTAAGAGGTAATTCCTTTTGAATTGTTCTCCAATGGCGCTGACTAAGTCATATTTTTTCTTCGCTGAGAAGGCTAACTAAATTCATAGCCGAAGGCGAACCCGCCACATCGAGACAAGTAACGAGCGTGGACCATTGACTCCGATAATCGGCTCTGAGGAAGACGAAGACGTCGAAACATTAGCCGGAAATATACTTATCAATCTCGTCTAAGCTCATCAAAGGAAGAATAGGTATTGAATTCGTAGCTTTGATCTAGTTTTACCACAGCCGACTTACTCTGTACTTAGCCGTAAAAAAATGTGCTAGATTTTCTCCCCATTTCAAGATCTTTACTAATTTTCATGCAAATACGGCCAGAATTAATCATTCCGTTCCAAATTAAAATAGCCAGTGGTTCAATATGGCAATCTTGTTAATGTTTTGCAGCATACCCATTTTACTAGTTAATAATGAAAATACGAAGACTTGATCTGCCCATTCGATTCAGTAATGTTATGATCAGAACTATTCCAATGATATCATTACTTACTTACTTGATACTTGAACGGCACGTCCTCACTGGTTGTGTGGATCCCAGCATAATCACTTTTCTGAGATTTGCTGGTTAAGCCATTGTGGTCTTCAGGCAGTCGCAGCCTTTGTGGATCAGATGAATATTTGCCCCTATGCGGCTTTCGTACCAAGATGGTGGTGGATCTTGGCATTGGTTTACTCTTAGCTGGGCTTTCTGATGGAAACGCCGGACTCCTCAGCTTGGGAGACCTTGCCGGGTGGAAGAATCCCCGCTGCAAATCACAGTCCGACACCCAGGAGCACTTCCCAGCCATTATGAGGCGTTAAACTGTTGCAAGTAGTAGATTGCTTTCATTATTGTCCAACTACGATCTCAGTACAATTGGTGAAACAATTCCTCAGCAATGTACTATCCACCTTTAGTGACTATCTATAGAATGGGAGCATTTGATTGTGTGCCACCTGTACTTGCTGTACTTGTAAATGCCTAAGCTGACAGGACTATTTATACCGGCAGCAAAATACAACAAAAAAGGAAATAAAATGAGATAGTAGACATAGAACAATGTTTAAAGGAAAAAAAAACTCCGAAACAACAGAAACACAACACAAACACAAATTCTTAATAAATTAATAACTTCAAGAACTTTCCGATGTAAACTAAACAATCAAGAAATATCGGACTCAAAACTTTAGATAGCGATTAACGATAATGGACAAATTCTACAGGATTTCAAAAGGTTCCATTTCAGTGGAGTTACCACAAATATAGCAGTACTGGAATGAAAATCCAGTACAACCTTTTTTGCTTCACACTAGCACATCTGATCTTCAGTTATTTGACACTCGTTGAAAAAATGAAGTTAGGTGAAACCTAAGACTCTAGAGACAATAAAAAAAAAAGAACAGCATTATATGAAATGGCAACTTCGGAATTAGAAGGAACTATTCTCCTCAACTGAAATGACAATATTGGACAAAAACGAAACCTGGGCAGCGATGCGACCCACACGCAAAGATTTCTTGTCGCAGTTTTAGCAAGCAAGTATTAAAAACTGACTAGTCAGAATTATTGGAAACCATACGTAACAAAAAAGTAACTAAAGAATAGCGATAACACAACTGAAAAACTATCAACATAACCACATGGATCATTCAATAGTTTCAAAAACGCCGTATTGTAAAATGTGTTGCAACAATCCCCAAGAGTTCAAATCATGGGCATCTGAAAATTGAAGAGATAAGGACCATACGATTCTACATGGCTGAACGGATAGTTCCCTCCACACATGAGATAAAGGAATTGTACTTAAAATAAATCGCCACCGACACTAATCGTCCTGTCAGCAAAGAACACAAAAGAGCAACGAAAAATTGTCCTTTGCGCAACACTTTAGCATTCCCTTTAGTAATCGTTAATTATGTAACATAGCCGATTCTCAAGGATCACCTCACATGACGGATATTGAGCCGGTCAATCGAGTGACTACGTGGCACGTCCATCTCAGGCCGACAGGGGTCTAATCGCGGACCAAAAGCGACCCTTCCTTCCTTCTCGAAGAGGCAATTGTATCTAGGGGATGGACTCCCTGCTTCTGCTGCGCCGATTTGACACTTACTTTTTGTAGTTGACAAGCGTGCTCAAGCATGCTTGTGAAGAAGCGCCTTCGCTTGTGCGGATTGTATTCTACCAGTCAATTCGGCCAAAAGCCTGCAATCAAGTGACACAGAAGTACATGGAAGGCGGTTAGGAGTCGCCTCCAACAAATAAGCTCCATGTCCACTCTGAAAGAGCCTGGCAAACTACCCGTGAGTATATCCAGCCTCCACGTTCAAAGTCCAGCAAGCTACACGTGGGTATCAATGTGCTAAACAGTAAAAAAAAACATTGGACCTCATTCTCCTTATCCCGAAGTAACCCCGCTTTCGCAGCATTGGGTAAGACGAGTACGGAGAGGTTGCTGAAATCTCAGAGCCAATAGAATCTGCCTGGATCACGAAGAACTGTGATGACGATCTGTACCTACAATGAACGTACACTTGCACCGAGTCCTCGATAGAAGACTTGCTCATGCAAGTAAGAAGAATAAGGTACGACGTCATCCGTCCGGCCGAGACGAGAAGTCGCCACCCATTCAACGCCGTCCATGACACTGGAGAAGAACTGCTCCTCGGAACACGCGACAGCAGAGGAGTGGGCGGCGATGGTGTTCTCGTCAACACGAGTTTGTCCATGAACATCGATTCATTCGAACAGCTTACAATCCGAATCGGACGTTTACGAATAAAAAGATGTGGATCAATACCGACTTTGACAATCTTCGTCGTTTACGAGCCAACATCAAACTATGACGAAGAAGAAGTCGAAGCGTTCTATATGGACTTGGAGAAGTTCTACAGAGAAGACCGTACATTCTTCAAGGTCACCATTGGAAATTTAAACGCCAAGACTGGGCCAAGAAGAACGTCACATTGGGAACCATGGATTAGAATGGAAAGAACAGAGAGCGGCTGTCTCAGTTTATGATGACGACCAAGACCAACCATGGTTACTCGCAATTCCAAAAATAACACCCTTAACCCTAGACGTGAGAGTCTCACAAATAGGAGTACCAAACCGAAATGGACCACATCATACATCCAAGGTTTTGCTTTAATGATGTCGCTGTTGTCTCAAAATTCTACATGGGGTCAGATCATCACCTCCTTCGTGCAAGAATTCATTCTTCGCGGAAAGGAGAGAAAGCCGCGAAATTCAAAAAACGAAGTTCCGAAACCACAATAAACTGTGAATTATATAGAGAACTTCTCTCTGGAAAAGTTCTCTATCTTCTTAAACAATAGTACTTGATGTCCATATGTAACTTTTGTAATCTTCTCGATCAATTATATTCAGTGTTTCAGTAACAGTGGAACAGTTTACTACTTTCTTGCGAAACAACGAAGCTAATGACGTTTGATGTTTCAGGCAGTTAGGTACAATCTATTGCGGTCCAGGATCAACAATCCAGATTAACCGCGGTTGCATACGCACGCGGCTCCCGCAGCCGAAACAAGCCATCTGCCTTTGACGGCGGAGACATGCAATCACTCACCTTACCCTCGATTAGTAGCGCGGATAATCCGCTCCTCACAACAACATACTCAATCATCCTCAATCACCTCAACTCATTCTTAGTCATACTCATTCATTCCCTTCAATCACATTCATTCACACATTCACATTCATCCCTCAGTAATCAGCAGATTATTGTATCTCGTTTCTCAGCTTGTCTACGGTGCGATGTCAGTAGTGGCGGGTGTTTCCAGATGCGTTCTGTTTGCAACGCCATCGGTGGCATGTACCATTCCTCTCACAATGTACGCAATGCGTACAATGCCGCTAAGCGGCCAACTTATGTTATGTATTCTGTTAAGCCGCTATAGGCTTATCAGTTTTATAGCCATTTATTATACTGGCTCTTGGCTCTTAGGCAATGGTGGCACCCACCGATGCTCAAAGTTCACGTTGCTGACATAGTTATTCACAACCAGTCGCCTGACTGTGTTCCGTAGATGACTCATCATCTACTGTCCGTAGCACCGTCAACGCTCATGTAACCTACTGTCCTCATCGATCCACTAAAATGCTCCTCATCGCTATAATGTTGAAATTTTAGCTCAACCGAAAACACGGCCAGCCTGTAACCCTCACCACCTCAGCATAGTCTCCTTTCTCCGCCCCTAGCATACTGTCTCCCCCAGCCGCCGCACTGGACGCGGATGACGCGGCGCGGCATCGCTCACGGCTAACCAATGGCTACTTCATTGTAATCAATTATTATTATTGTTAATATTGTATTAAGGATACATTATTATTCGAATGCCATTATCTCGTTGCTAGCCTCACTTCATTACTAGTCTTAGCACCTCAGAGCTCTTAATTCGCGTCAGTCCTCTGCCATCACTTCTCTATCGTTACTATCATGTTATTAATGTTGTGTATTAAAGGTTTAATTACCCATGTTTGAGGCTGGTAGATCAATACAGCGGCGAAGAGACCCGTTTGGCTAATATTCTACATCAATCTGAACCACTAAACTCAGCCGCTAACTACTTCGTTACAAATTATTCAAATCACTGGACGGCCACCAAAAAGAGGCCATTGTCGATAACATCGATGAGGAATACGATCTGCTCATTCAACATTACGTCAGTGGTATGCAAGCTGAGAGTATGAAAGTCACCACGAGACGTTTGTCTCCAGAAACACTCGAGCTGATAAGCCAGCGTGGAATCGCACGAGCTGTAGGCAACGGTGAACTAAGTCCAAACTTGCAAAACAATGCAAACAGGCGATAAAGATACTATCTCGCCAAAATTATTTACCGCCATCCTCGAGAACGTCATGGAAACATTGGGATGGGATAATATGGGAGTGAAAATCGATGGTCGGCAGTTACACCATCTTCGCCTTGCTGATGACATCGTTCTTATAACAACAAACATTGGCCAAGTGGAACGAATGCTTTCCTACTTTGACAAAGCCTGTGGAAAGATTGGTCTTCGACTAAATCTCACAAAAATGATGTTCATGAAGAACGGATTGCTTTCGTATGCCTCATTCACGCTTAGCGGAACGAATATCTCCGAATGCTCCAGTTATGTCTATCTAAGTCGGGAAATCAACAAGATGAACGACTTAGCTCCATAGCTGAGCAGAAGGAAAAGAGCCGCTTGGGTTCAAGAGCATCGGGGTGTAGTGAAGAGAACAAAGAACACCCGACTCCGTATCCATCCTTCCGACTCAACGGTACTTCCTGCCCTAACGTATGAGTCAGAGACCTGGTCGCTGCGTAAGCAGGACGGAAGACCACCGGGCGTCATTGAACGCGCACTCGAAAGGATGATGCTGGGTGTGTCCTGTTTCACACAAGCAAGAGAAGGGATCTGCAGCTGCGACCTGCGTCAACGATTCAAAATCAAAGATGCTGTTCCGTGCACCAAACAGTCGAAGATAAAGTGGGCCGGACACGTAATGCGTGTGGATGAAAACCGATGGACAAGAGTCGTTTGTGACTGGATTCCTCGGGATGTCAAACGCACTGAAGACCACCGACTCGATGGTTACAGTTCTTCAAAGAAAGTCTAGAGGAAAAATTTGATGCTCAAAGTGTCCCTAGATCGGACAGATTCCACTGGGTTACCCTTGCACGCACGCGACATGGAAAAAATGGAAGATTTACTGGCGTTCGCTGGAGTCACTCGACGATCAACGGGACTACAGGCGATACAGGTGATAGACGATTCGGAAAAGTCAAAGCTTGCCTCTACGTCAATCGAAGAAATCAAACCTCACCTCTATGTCGACTTAGAAATCCAGGACTGCTTAACCAGATGCAATTAGGACCACTTTTTTTTGCACTCAACCACTTCATAGTAATTACCATCGCAATGGTCTGCCGTCTGATTGTAACCTGGAGGTGTTCCTGGATGTCGGGTTACCATATACAGCGAGGGGGTTCATCCCCACTGCAGGAACTCTCAAGCTGAGAAGGAATCCGGCGTTTCCATTAGGAAGCCCAGTCAAGAGTAAACTAATAGCAGGATCTACTACCGTCCTGGTATCAAACAAGCTGCATGGTAGACTGTCTACTCTTTTTAACGGCAGACTATACATTGCGAAATATAACTTTAATGATGCTAAGATATTTGCAAAACTCCGGACCGCAGGTGTATGCGGTCCGGAGTTTTGCAAATATCTCAGCATCACTGAAGGTCTAGAGCACACTTTGGCCTGTTTGGCCTGACTGACCTCAGGACTCCAGGAAACCACGATGGCTAAAGCAGCAAAACTGCGAAAAAAAACAGAGATTATGGTGGGGGCTAGCACAACTAGTGAGGACGTGCCATCCAAGTAAGTATAATAATTACCATATAAACCCAGTGATAAATCCGTTTGACGATTACTATTTAGATTTTGGTGCTTGTTTTCTTTTATGCATCATGAAATCCAGCTACAAGTTATGAATGTTCGGGGACTGTGTGCATGAGGCTTCCCAACAATTAAGGCATCACACCATGTGGGAAAATTTTCTAGAAATGCCGAACACCTGCTCTGCGCTAACAACAAAAGTTTGCGACGTACGAAAGAATAAAAAATAGCACTAACAGAGGAGAATTAATCAGGCTATTTATGCAACCACAAAACTTACCACGTAAGGAAACAACCCTTTTCGTCTCATCCGTGCCAACTAACACCCTTATTCTTCCATCACTGGTTTTCCCGATGGCGAATATCTGGTGCTGCTCATTCACATTGTCCTCATTGGCAATAGCACCTGCGACACCTGCAACAATAGCATCACAACCGACAAAAATTGTGACGCTACAAACCAAAAAATGAAACTACTCTAAAGAATATAAGCAGAAGTAAACAGCTGTTCCTGCTAAATACGAATGGTAACCATATTCTCACCGTTGTCAGACTCCTCAGAGGGAACCTCTCGTTTAATTTTATCCAAAATTCCATCTTGCTCCGCTCTCTGTAAGAACATAACCCAATTCAAAAATAACTTTTACTAATAACGCGGTGCCTTGCCTTTGACCTCACTTTATTGTCCAAATTGCTCCCTCCTGTCTGCCATGTGCGGATGTAATCCGTTGTCATGTTGCTGCATGTTGCAAAAGATTCGTCTTCCTCGTTCTTGTGTTGTCTATCTTCTTCATCAGTTCTCTCTCGTTCCTGGTTTTTCCGCTGCTCCACTCGCTCTTCGTGTTCTTTGTCCGCCTCCAATTCCCCGTCTGAGTCGCTTTCAAAGAGCCAAAATTGTGTCACCTGAAAAGACATTTGCAAAACTGTTGATTGGGACAATGAATCTCAAATATTCGTTACAACGAGTTTCGTTATCGAATTTTTCAAAGAAGAAATACCTATTCATTCAATTCAATTCGACACTCCGAAGAATGAACTTCTTACGTTATCCCTTAACAGGTCTTTCTACCCACAACATTACAAATAACTTTTTAAATAACTGTACTTTCTTAGGTGTTTCCAAAGGTGGTGTAGTTCTACGCTTCTTCGGTGTGGCTGCTGGATACGATTCCAATGCTGTTTTGGTCATTGTTCTTTTGCGGCTGAAAGGTGGCCATGTTGATCAGAAAAGTTTCCTTGAAATGCATCGCTCTGAAAAATGACAGAAAGAGCTAACTTTTTCGACAACGTCGTTTCCTCGAAATCACTGTCACGATCCGAGAGTTTTCGTTCCGAGTCAGAACTGTTATCTTGTGTTTCCAGTGAACGGTCCCGTTTTTTCCTGAAGAAAATGTTCAGAAAACTTTAACAGCAATGTAAACGCAGACAATGAAAAGCAGTTTGTCATAAAGACGAAGTAAAGCATCCACTATAAACTGAGTTATGCTCTCTAGTTAGAATAATCATCGCCAGAAATCCCAAATATCCACTCTACTCTCTACAACCAACATATATGTATATATATACATATGCAATTTTATATATATATGCATATATATACGTATATACGCATATACGTATATGTATACACGTACATATATAAGATACACTAGTCTATGTACGAGGGTGGGAATAGAGCCGTGTTTAGCGATGTCATCGATTAGGAAACAAAGGAGCCAGTTCGATCCCCGCACCAAAGCTCTCCTTTAACCCACGTGGGTAACCCTTAGTCCGCCTATCATGAAGGTTTCAAGGAGAATTGACACAACCAGCATACCACGACTTTCATAAAGAGAATGAAATCCTCAATCAGCAGCTGAAACAACACGAGAAATGATCGAAGACATTTGTGGACGATAGATTCGATGAAAACGATCCAAGAAGTGTCGGGATCCACACAGATGTCATTATGCGCCATGTAAAGCAATAAATAAAAAACTATGTACACTCTACACAACTATACATATATATATATATATATATATATAGTGCATACATGTACATACATACGTATGTATACCTATAAACACATATAGATTACATATACATATATGCATATACATACATATTTATGTGTTTGTATAACCTCAGTGACGCTGAGATATTTGCAAGACTCCGCACAGCAGGTGCCTGCGGTGGGGAACGAACGCGATATTACACTTTCCAGGGACTAACGCTTTCACCACCACACCATGCGAGTTCTATGATATATACATATATATAAAGGATAAAGCTCTCGGCGTTGATCAATCCCTGAAGGATGCGCCATTCATTCTAGTTCACTAAGCATCGCTTGGAGGTGATTGAATGCACATATAACCTTTGCAATGACTCGCGGTGGTCTACCTATGTATCGAGCCAGTGCTATCCTCCCAGACAAGTTTGGCACCTATATATATATATATATATATATATATATATATATATATA